CCTCTGAGCAATATGGAGGAGTCCAGGGGGAGCTGCAGTCAGTACATATTTTCCCTCTGTTGCTCCTTCCCTTTCCCAGTTTTCCATTGCTTTGGTGTGGACTCTCCACAGCATAGAAATTTGTCACCAGCTTAGCTGTTGGGCTCAGCTGTGTCCTGTAATGGGACCACTCCTGCAGTGTTACTTTCCACTTACATTCAGTATACCAGCAGGGAGGCCAAATACTGGGAAGACAAAAGGTGTTGAAACTGCTACCTGCAAGTAAAAACATTCGATACTGTTTTCCTCAGCATTTTCCTGGAGAAAGGAACTGCTCACTGCTAAGCTAAGCTACTGTCTGCTAGATAAAACAAATTAAAAAAAAAATGCCTGGGCCCAAAGAGTCGTTGCAAATGGGGTTAAATCCAGCTGGTAGCTGATTGGAAGTGGTGTTTTCCATGGCTCTGCATTGGGGCAGTTTTATTTCACATCTTTACCAATAATATTGTTAAGGATTGAGTGCACTCTCAGTAAATTTGCAGACTACTAGCAGTAATAAAATCATATTGGGAAAGACTGAAATAAAAGAAATCTGGAAGTAAAAATATTTCTATGTTTTTCCTTTTGTGTGTGTGTGTGTGCGTGTGTATGGATGGCAAATTGTGTCAATTACCTGAGAATGTTTCATGTTTTATGTGTATCTCTGCACTTCAATGAGGAAATACTTCCTTTTAAAGACTGGTGTAAATTTTGTTTGTTTGAAAGAGAAATTACAGATGACTCAGTATCATCATACATATTCACTGAGAAACTTATTTAATGTGGGAAATGGATCAAGATTATATTTCCCTTAAAAAAAATTGGAACAGATTAATCCAGTGAGGCAGAGAAAGACACATTCCAGTAGTTTACTGCATGATGACTGAAGCAGATGGCACTAGGATGGATACTAATCATCCAGATCCTCCTTTGATTTCACTTTGCCATAAGTGCCAACTGACAGAACACTTCAGAAAGATTTCACAGGGATGATATACAATTTTACAAAAGTCAACTTTTTTTCTTCTGGAAAATACGACTTTGTGAAAATAATTAGAAAATAGTTCAGTTTCTAGCATCCTTTAAAGCGTTGTATATTCTTACAGGCATAATGTATAATGCCCAGATAGCTGGATTATTTAAGCAATTAACATTTATTTATTTGACATTGTGAAACAAGGAAAACACATCTTTTAATAGAAAACTGTTGGGTTTGCTGCCTGTGTTTATGCAACTTTTTCTTTGCAGTAAATCTGTTCATGGTCAGAGATTAAATACTGGAATATACGTAACATTATTTTGCCTTCCTGGGGTAACATTGTGATACTACTTCATTTGCATTCTAAATTAGATTCTGTTGGAAGTTATACATGATAGAAAGGGTGGGAGTTCTTGAATTTAGAAATGTCATCAGCAAGCAAAAAAAAGAGTGAATCTACCTGCTATGTACAAATGCAAATTATACTGATTCTACCATTGGAATTCAACTGAAAGCATCACTGTTTAGTATTTCTGAGTATAGGTGTTTCCTTTTGAATACTGTCTTTAGGGACACACAACCACTATTTCTCAGTTAAACTTTTCCAAGAAACATGTGTTAGTAAGTTTTACCTGCTTATTTAGTTGAAATAAAATTCATTTTGTTTCAAAATTTTTGACATAGCTCAAAAAAAAAAAAAAAAAAAAAAAATCAATCTCAAATGTCAAGGAACATGGAAGTAGAGGTTATTTGTCTGTGATCAATTTTTTTTTGTGGCAAAAAGTGAAACAGCTAGAAATGAACTTCCTTTGTAACACAGGTCATTCTGTAATAAAGAATGATGTTTATATATTCAGGGTCTGTAAGAAAAAAAAGCCTTATTATTCTTAGTGAAAGAAAGAGTGACAATTATTACTTTTCACTCACAGCGTTAGCATATATATATGTGTTTGATTTTTGATTTTCCTCTTTTACGTACAGCCTTTTTCCCTAAGGACCTGCCTAACTGTAAAGTTGATTTGCAGTACTTAAATTTTTAGTGGGCCACTGAATTACTTAAACTTGTGAAATTATAAAATAAAAAATAAAAATAATATATTATTTTAATTTTATAATTTCATTTTTCCCTTGGTGTATTTTTTTTTTTTCCTGTTCTGTCTATTTCAACTTTTGATACTTTGCCAGTTCTAGACCAGAACGGCTAGATGGTTATAATAATAGAATCAGATAATTTTATGAATTGGAAGAATCACACAAAGGCCATTGAGTCCAGCTCCTGTCTCCACACAGGACCATCCAAAACTCAAACCCTGTGTCTGACAGTGTTGTCCAAATGCTCTTTGAACTCTGGCCCTTGCGGCTGTGCCCATTGTGCTGGGCAGCCTGCCCTAGTGTCCATCCATTCTCCAGCAAGAACCTTTTTCTATCACCCCCCCTGCACCTTCCCAGACACAGTTACAAGCCGTTCCCTCAAGTCCTGTTGCTGCCACCAGAAAGCAGAGCTCAGCGTTGCTGCTCTGCTCCTTTGAGAAGCTGCGGCTGCCATGAGGCCTCACTCTCCAATTTCCTGAGAGAAACAGGCCAAGGGACCTCAGTTGCTCCTCATAAATCTTGACCTCTAAACTCTTCCCTATCTTTGGAGCCCCATATAGATGCTGTCTTATAGCTTTATGGCCTACTTATGTTGTGGAACTTAGAATTGCACACAGTGTTCAACGTCAGGCCAGAGCAAGAATATCTTCTACAGCACCTGGAGCACACCCTCCTCCTCCTCCATCTTCACTAACCTTGGTTTTTGTGAATCTCTTTCTCACTTCTCTTTCACATGTGCTGACGTGATGCATTATTTCCCTTTCTTAAAAGTGCTATAATTGACTAGGCTTTGACCAGCCACTAGAACTCAATTTATTTGTAGCCCCCTCCAAACCAAAACAAATGTGGTTTTATTCACCTAAAATATGTACCTCTCTAATACCTCTCATTCTTTTACTTTTTTGCATAACCCAGTGCATTTCCACAATTCTAATCTTTCTTACCTGGAAGTTTGCTCTTTCCTACTACGTGATGTAGAAAGGACAAGTGCAGCACTACAAGTAGTGGAAAAATCATTGTTACAATAGTCTCAGTGTGTTTTTACTGATTTTTACTATTCTATTCAGACAATAAACTATTTAATAATCTATTACAAAACACTGAAAAAATATTATAAACAGATGTACAGATTTGAGCAGAGATACCAGCTTATCTAATATTATAAGCAGTAACCCACCAGATTTCATTAATAACCTTTCTTATAATACTTCAAGTACATAGTTCAACTATTCTTACTTCCAATACAGTTCTTAGAGTAGTAGATAAATCACATTCGTCTTTTGCAGCCTTTTATGGTATTCATTGTGCTGAGGTTTCTGTTAAACTTTTTTTTTTTTTTTGTCAGAACATTGCCATCACACAAAAGGTCATGTTCATATCTAACAGCAGAATTTGACTGCAAGAACAGCAGTTCTTGAAACAAAAGTTTAGTTTCCTATTGCTGGTGTCCCAAATAACAACTATATTTCTTTTTGTCACTTCATTACTCAGACTTCTGTTATCAAAACTTTATAACTCTCTGGAGAGAGCTGAATGTAGGCAGACAGAATTTACTTCCTCGAACAGTAGCATAGATTTACACACACCTTGCATTTTTCCATGATGTAAAACATACTTAACATTTTATTTTTTTCAGAGGTAGCTTTCTATTTCTCATCCCCTCCCCCCATTTTTTTTTTTCCCCATTAGTAATTTAATTCTTGTAATGGGCTATATGACCTCTACTGTCAGAGTTGTATTAGAGCTGCTATATGAAGACATACAGTGAAGAGACATTGATTTTAGAAATAACTTTTATGTTATAATACTTTTCTCATCCTTCTATTTACACTTGTCCCACTTGTCTCTTCATTGGTCTCAGCTATTAACTTTTTACATCTCCTGCTGTGTACTCTTAGCAACCTAGGTACCTTCAAAAATCAGTCATGTCTTCAGGATATATGACTCAGAAGTTAGATATTTTATTCAAATGTTATGTAAGTCTACTTTTCTACCAGGTAACTGAAGTTCTGTAGAACAAACTTTTATATATGTGTGTGTTTGTGCACATGCATGTATTGTCACTCCAGAAGTAATGCCTCCTATTTATTTCTATGAAAATTGCAGTAGATAAAAATTTAGACCAATAACACTGATAGAGCAAACTCAAAGCTACAAAACAGTTTTTCAACACTGCTTCCACTATTTTTTATCAGCAATGAACAAGAACCTACATACTACATTTGTAATCATTTGCCTTAGAAACGTTGAACAGCATCGCTGTTACCACCACTGAAACACACTGCACTGACCACCTCACTGTGTTCTCATTCACTGTTTTGTCTCCATAAACATTCAGCAATTGTCAATCATTTTTAGTTGCCATATCTTCTGCATGGAGGGATTCGGTTCCACACCTTTGCTTCATACACATTTCCAAATCAGGTGAAGTTTTGTCAGACTGCCCCTCTGCTGCCATCTGTTGTAAAGCAGCAAAATTGAATGGAAATTGGCAGGAATATTCACCTTCTACTGCCATAACACCACCATCTACTTCTGAAAAAATAGTCAAGAGTCTGTATTGTATGAGATTGAAAATGTCGTTTGATATTTTTAAAAATACTTACAATTAGTGCAACAATATCAGGAAAAGAGTCATAAGTTTTTGAGAAAATGCTCCAAGATAAAAGCTGAAATTGATTTCAGTAAAGCTGAATAACAGGTTATTGACTCATGCACTGGCAAAACTTTCATCTTGCAATAGTACGTGACACTAATATGGGGGTGTGCATTACTCCCTGTTAGTAGATACATTCTGTTTATAGTACGAAGTATGCTTGGAAGGTATTTTTTTACAGCCAAGGAAAACATTAACCCTGGAATGTTCCTGGAGATTCCCTGGAATGTCACTATATTTTAAAAGTTCATTTAATTTCGTTCTTTATTCTTTTCTCTTTTTTTTTTTTTTTCTCCCCAGAATGAACAGAATAAATTTGGTTAAATGGTATTCCCAAGGATGTAACTCAATTAAGTAAGACTCAATTACATCTACTAATTTTGCTCACCATTAACTCAATCCTGGCCTATCAGATGCTGTATGCTTTCAGAAACAGTCATGCATTTTGAAAGAGCATTTGTGATCTTTTAGGAAAGTGGATAGTAATGGAGGGAGTAGCAAGTGAGGTCAAGAGTTATGCTTATGAAAAGCAGATATAAGCTTAGATCTAGCAAATGTACACTTCAAAGGAACAATGATTTACAAATTTAAACCCACATCTCAAGTAAGACTAGATCATTTAGGTAGGTTTTTGTTTTAAGAGAAAGCAAAATTCTTCTTTGCATGCCTTCTTGGTGAAATTAATACAATCTTATGATCTGAATGTGACTATGACTAGAAAGAAATCAGCTACAATATCCTAATTTTTTTGCAGATGTTCCTAGAAATGTTACATATTTCAAGAGATGCAGACTTTAAAAGAAAACCAGTATTTCCTGTTTCAGTGACAACTTAACACTAAGATTCTAAATGTATCCAACAACTAAATTTTTTTCTTTAAACAAAGAAACATATTATAAACAGGTTATACAATACACAACAGTGCCTGCTTTTATGCTCTTTAATTTCTTCCTCACGTATTAGGATTCATGCCCGTGGTGGCTTAATCCTAGACAACACCCTCGCAGCCTTTCACTAATTCATCTCAGCTGTGGGACAGAAAGAAAATAGAAAAGAAGTGAGAAAACTCAAGGATCAAGATGGTTTATAGGAAAAAATATGCATAAATATGTGCTGTTGTAGTTAACCTGGTCAGCAGCTGAATGACATACATTCTTTCACTACCTCCCCCTCTTCCCAGTGGGGTAGGAGAAAGAATAAAAAGAAGAGTAAAACTTGAAGGCTGAGATAAAATAACTATTTTCTAAAGTAAGGAAGAGAAATAACAGTAAAGATAATATTTTATATAATAATAATATGTTTATATTTACAAAACAAGTGATGCACAAAGCAATTACTCACCATCCTCTGACCAATGCCCAGCCAGTCCTTGAGCAGTGGCGGCTTCCTCAATCAACACTCTTCAGTTTTATGGCTTTTTTTCCACATGATGTCATGTGCTATGGAATATCCCTTTGGCCAGCTTAGGTCAGCTCCCTTGCTGGCAGGACAGTAGAAGTGGAAAAGTGAAATATCTTTGGCTCTGTACAGCACTCTTCAGCAACAACTGAAACTCCAGTGTGTTATCAACAGCGGCTTTTTTTTTTCCTCCCCTTAAGCCAAAACATAGCATTATACCAGACACTATGAAGATAACCAGCTCTGTCCCATCTGAAACCAGAATATGTGTCAACTACAGGACAGCATTTGTGAGACTGTGGAGCTAAGTCTTTCTCAGTCTTATGAGCACAGTTGAAAATTAGACTACATGAAATTACAGGGGGAAAAACATATTGATTAACATAGCAAAAACTGAGACTCTGATGTTTTGATGATTCACAATTTGCTGGCTACATAACTCGTTAATTTTTGAAGGCACTTTTAAAAGTCCCTTTAAGCAAAGAACTTTTCTCAGATGCTTGAGGAAATCTTGTCAGGATTTTTTTTTTTAAATGACCTAAGTTGCCTATAAATATTTTATAAACAGGGGTCTGCTATCCAGAAATCTAGGTTAGCAGTTCAACTAACTTCAAAATGAACTTGAGGAAGTAAGACCTCTGTGCAGTTCAGTCAGTGACCTTAATGCTCGTGGAAGATTGATTTCACTTACCATGAATTAATGGCACTTTTCTGTAGTTTGCTTGTCGTTATGGTCTCAGGGTGAGTGTACTGCAGGAGTCTAATTTAGAACTGCAAAAGTATTGACTGGATACAGGATAAGTATTCTTCTCTGTTTACAAGTGGAAAATAACAGCCTGTCATTTCAGCCATTTGACAAACTAACTGACAGCATGTGAGGCTGACAAACTGATTGCATTTTCTGTCTGAAAATCGTAAACATGACTAACAAAGACATGGCCTACAGAATTTTAATACTAAAGAACAATTACTCAGTTTTGTTTGTTTGTTTTTTGTTTTACTACATGACTCATTCCAGCAGCATTTGATAAAAAGAAAAAAAGTAGTCCCTTAAGAGATAAAGGAAAAGTAAGTCAGCACCTTATATAAACAAAAGCCATGAGCCTCTAGTAATATACAGAAAATTTATCACTGGTATAAATGTGGTCCATAGACATACTCCAAGAACATGCAAGATAGATAAGCTGTAGCTTGTTAAGACTACAGTCAAGTTGAATCTTTATAAAGTCCTAATAAGCTAATTATAATAATTTCAGAAAAATTTCAGTTTCAAAACTGAAACGAGAATTATTCTGTACACTGTGCTGATATCATAATAACTCCTCCAGTTCTGTTCCAACATATTATGCTGTACACTGCAAATACACAATCTTTACTGAGTATGTGAAGTCTAAGACTGAACTCATTTTGTGCCACAAATATGTTCCTTCTATAGTACACACTGAAAAACCTGTAGATTCACTCAATACTCTGAAGTATTTAAATAGGGTATTGTTTGATGTTGATACTAGTACTGCACTACATTTTCTCTTCCACTGTTAAAAATCCTGTTGTTGTTTTTCCTTCCTTTCTATACTTAGCTGAATATTTGAAACATGGTGCACAAGTAAGAAACAAAACAATAACTCAAAGTTCAGAAATGAATACATTATTAATTCAGAATTGTCTGATATCTTTTCTAGAACAGCTGTCACACAAATATAGGTGTTGTTAGTCATTTTCAAAATATCACAATGTCTACTGAATGTCAATCAAAAATAACCACATCATCGTGCACTTATTGATTTTAAGTACCTTAATCCTCCACAACTATGTGGATTCTTGTGGATTAACCTGGAAAACAGCAAAGAAGTACACAGCCATCAGCTCACTTCACTCCATGTAGCACAAAGTAGGAAATTAGAAACAAAATAGAATACATAGGCTAAGATAAAAGCTATCTGCTAAAATGAAAAAGGAAACAAAAATGCAGGGGTAACAATATAGATATATGTCTACAATAAAATTATTCACTATCAACCAATAAACACTATGCTAACAACATACCAACTGATGCTCTGCTACCAACACAACACCTCAACACCACTAGCTGTCACCCAACCAGTCCCCAAGCAACAGCTCACACCTAACCTCCCTCACACCTCTACAGCCTTCCACATGATTTCACATATTAAGGAATAATCCCTTGCTTAATTTAGGCCAGCTGTACTGACTCTTTCCTACCTTCACCTTGCCACGGTATCATAAAGGTGGTAGCCCTTGCCATTCAAGTGGCCTAGCCCCAGGCACACCCCATCACTTAACAACAACCAAAACATTTGTGAGATATTAACAGTATCTCAGCTGAAGTCTAAGTACTTTGATTTAGTGTACTTTGGACTTCCAAATATATATAATGGTATATATAATGGTTCCAAGTATATATAGTGGTGATATGCTCTGAAAACTGAAATCTTTATTTCTATAATTAATTACTATAGCATTTAATAGCAAAACATGCATATTTGAAAACTTCACTGGCCAGAGTTTACACATCTCATTTTAATCCTGATGAGTTTCTATTACATTACAGAAAAATTAAAGACAGGAAAAGTTACTTCTTTTAACAGCTTGCACAAACGTAAGGAGAAACCATGATCAGGAACACAGTTCTGATGCTTTCTTTTTTTGTGTTGGCTTTATTTTAGTTAAAGCTATTGACAAATGTTTAAATACAAGCTTACCAGAGGACAGAATTGCTCTGATGCCTCCACAGAAAGTCTTAAATGTTTTACTTCCCTGTAGATAGTGTGCTAAAATGGCGGCTGCCATGGCTTTCATAATGTCATATGCAAATTGTAAGTTATCTACAGTTTACTTCAAATATCTTTTTTGAGAAAGTACATCTTTTTCTCTGATATGTTCATATACTACTTTTTCTCCGAAATTGATTAGCTCAATAGTGATCCAGTAGCTGTCAAAAGAACCTAACTTTTTAGAAGCTAAGTTCTCTTCAGTATCAACATATACAGGATCTGAGATGTCTCTAGCCTTTACTCTTTTCCCCTACTACCCTCATAATTAGTCATAACAAATAACAGAAAGGATATACCAAATTACTACAAAAAGGACACATCACATTTGTTAGACATGTTGCACTGTGTTAGATGCCATAATTACCAACTCTGAAACTTATTACTGTAATGAAAATCCTAATGAGAAATTATTGTTGAGCAGTGTATCAGAGTGAATTTATGTAATTTGAGGCAAAATCCAAAACATTCCGAAACAAATACAAGTCGTCTTTGAATTATATTTGGAAAATATTTATGTAAAACTTATTGAACATACAGATAGTGTTCAAGCACAAATAAACCAGTAACAACTGACTGGTTTTGGTGACATGCTACGAATAGGTAAGTGTCTCGATGGAAGTAGTTTTTGACCTTGCAGTCTTCAGATCTTATTTCTTCTGTTCACTCACTGAAGACTTATATTTTAATTCCATATGACAAAGTCTTGTAAGTTTTAAAATACTAATCTACTGAAATTTGGTTTCATTTTAATTCTACATTTGGTTAAGGATAAATTTTACTAAAAATGTGAGATTAGATGATCAATGTAACATTTTTGCTTGTAATTTCTGTGACATTAATAGACTCATTGTAACCTGCTAGGAAAAAAGGTTTGCTATGAAATGCACTGACTAAAGAAGATTTTATATGTATAGTAAAATTGTTGGCAGTTCTTGTTTTAAATAGAAAATAAAGACTATAGGAGGAGCTGGGCAGAAGAAACATGCAAAACAGGTAGGATGGAGTAAACAACGCTATTTCTGTTGTCATCCAAGCTATTTTTCTTCTGAAAGAAGAACTAAACTATGTGTTGACACTGTACTCTAAAACAGTCAACATCGTGTTTGCCTGTGCAATGAACACCTCAAAAGATAGAAATAGAGAAAGATAGAGAAGTTAGTTTTGTAGCTAAAAAATTATTTGCCTAGCTGTTTATAATGTATTTGATCAAGGCCAAACGTCCTAAGAGATATTTTATTTTAGAATTCTGACAATTCTAGAATTTCTGAACATAAATCCTACTCTCTTGGCTATTAACCCTTAAATAAGAGATAGGAGAGGTAGACTCTTTTTCCACATGTTCCAGCTACCCAGGTGCATTGCTTGCATGTGTGTGTGCCCTGAGTTAGCCTTGCCTTCTCACCTGGTACCTAATCTCTGGTTCAGACCTAGCAATCCCCATACAGTAGGACAATCCCTTTTCTTGCTCAGATGGCAGTGCTGGGCCTCATGTACCATCTACCCATGTACCTCGTGGATTGGGTCTGGTTGACATATTGGGTTTATTACCCTCAGAAGGGAACTACTTGTGAGTACAACCCTTCTGTTTTTTTCTTGGCAGAGGTGGTAGTGATACAGGGAGTAGGCTGACTTCCCTAGGCAACACCTCCAACCTGGACAGACCTTAGTCTGCATTATCATTTGTCTGTCCATTAAGTTCCAGAGCTTCATACCAGTTTTGTAAAAATATCTTGGAAGGTGAGGTAGGCAGGAGAGATGATTTGCCTTTTCCTGAGCAGAAACCTTCTTCCACTCAGCCCTGAATCTTAGTTTCCCGCCTTCTCCTGTATGGGAAGAGAGTAGGAAATATTTTATTTCCTATGTTACAAGTGGCTGATGTTTCTATTTCAGGGATGGTAGATTGTGATTCCGCCAATCCATTTCCTGACAGAAAATCTGGGTGCACCTCAAAACCTGAGATCTTAATGGAAGCATTGGGGATTCTGTCTGGGTAACTTTGTCAGTTGCAGTGGCTGGAAAGGCCACAGAAGATGAAGAGGACATAGCTTTCTTCTGGGTGGATAACATGGCTGGAACTTCTTGCAGGTGCAAAGTGGTAGAGTGGAGGGGGCTACTGTTACTCCTGGCCCTTTCTATGTATTGTCCACTGCTCTCTTAGGAGTTGCTGGCTCCTGGTGGGCTTTTGTTTTCCCATGACTTTCCCCAGTGCAGAAAAACCTTTGTAGGCTGTAGTTCCATGCTGCTCTGTCGATCCTGCTGGCACCAGAGCTGATTGCCTTGGCTAGAATTTTGCCCTTACTATGTGTATTGAAAGTTTGCAGTGAGGGATCCTCTCCTCATTTCAAGTTTGCATTACTGGCAGTCTTCCAAAGTGAGTCAAGTTCTGAAATAGTGAGTACACACAAAAGCATCAGGGTTCTATTTTTTGGTCTCTTAGCTAATTGCTAGTCAGCTCACTATCATAGCGGACTATGATATATTTATTGCTGTCTATTAAAGTAAACATAACTTAGTCCAGATTTAATTTTCAGATGACTGAAGGAAAGGAGATGTAAGTATCACCTTTAAGTAATCGAAATCCCCGGTACACAGCTCAGGGTTATCTTATGAATAAGACTTTATGAGGCAGCACAGATTAAAAACTTTGTTAGATGTTGTAACTTGTACACGTTGTATCAAAAGAAGAGTTCTCATGCTCTAGTTAATTAATTGGATTATGCCTTCAAAAGGATTGACACTTAGCATGCCCTCATTTTCAGCATTATTAAACAAAGTTTGCAAATTAAACTTCAGGATAACAACCTAGAACACATACAAAGGACTAAGGAATAATTTGGTAACTTCAGGTCTTCAGATCTGTAAAAAACAAACAAACAAACAAAGTGCACAAAAAAAAAAAAAAAAAAAAAAAAAAAACCACCAAAAAATACAAAAGAAACAGACTACCTAAAGCAGTTTAACTGAAGCGTAGCCAGCTAAAACCCACCAGAAATTCTGAAAGATATCACAAGTTGAATGTTATATTTAGAAGTTTGCAATGATCCCAGGTTTGAAATAAATTTAATTAGACCAAAGTTGTAACCTTGTGGAAATCAATACTGATGTGCTAGAGATGACCTCTGAAGGATTAGACTCACAATTTTGCATAGTAGATTGTAAAATTATTTCAACTGAAAGCCTGACTAAACTCACTGTTTGATCTGCTGCTTATCTATAGATGTAGAGTTGGTGAAGGATGTAAGGTATGGTTAACTATGCTGCTCTCTGATAGGTGGCCTTCAAGATATTCTTTCTTCAGACTCAAAATCCCCCTATTTATGTCCATTTCTAAAAGTTCCACAGCCCCAATATTCAAAAAGAAACAAAACAAAGCAAGAAAACCTCTGGTATATTCATAAAATCTGATAAAATTTTATTACTTGGATCAAGCTCCCTGGTATTATTCTGAACAGTATTCCCCATTGATGTGTTTACTGGGGAAAGTGACAGCACAAAGTGATACTGATTATAGCTATACACATATATATATATCTAGATTTTTACTTAAACTTTGTTGACTACATGTTGCCTGGGGGCAGAAAGAACAGTGTGTTGTAACTCAAGACTGCTGTAGGACAAGAAAACCATAGTTTTATGATGAAAGTAGTATTTAATGCTACACATTTTATATTGGCATAACACTTTCCATTTCAAAGGTTTCTGATAGTCTGCATGCACACAGACACAACACCATAACCTGACATTCAGCACAGCCAAGAGGAAGAAAATAACTTTTCTGTCTTTATATCAGAGGTTGGACTATTCAGTATCAATTTATCTGGAATTTCTAATTAAAAAAAAAAAAAAAGAGAAACCGATATACCTGGTCTACGAGTTCTTTTTTTCAGAGCATAGAAAGATCAAAATAAACAGCAAGTCATTAATCTGAAGAAGTGCTGGGAGGCTTGGAAAAAAAATTAATAAAGTGGTTAATATTTAAAACTTGTCTGGAAAGAATCCTTTTTAATATTTAAGGCATCTTAAAGCTGCACCAGAAATGCTAAATAACTGCAGAAATGCTTAAAATCCAAAATGCAAGTCTGCTTCACCAACACTCTTTCACTTAGATGTCTTCTTTGCAGTTTCTTGCAGAAGATACACCTTTTTGTTAAGAAAACCTTGCATGCAGAATTTCTCATTAATTTCTTAAATAGCTGTTGAAGCACTGATGATGTTTACTAATTCCAATAATGCAAATTCTTCAATGACTATCCTATAGCTGATTTAGAATGACAGAGAATAAACATCTTCTCTTTCACTTTCCATTTTGTCTAACATTTTAAAATAACGAATGTAGAGAC